ATGGTGAGCGCGCTCAAGAAGCCACGACCACCATGTTTCCGCGGCAAGTACAGCCTCATTACCGACGATCTCGGATGATGCATCCTATGGGACGTCATGGTAGTGCGGACTTTTCTATCCAGGGCGTTAAGTTCAGTCTGAGTCCACCTGAGTATGCCAAAGGTATACATGAGGACAGGCATGACCCAACCGTTATATGCGTGTGCCTTATTCACACCGGACAAAAGGCTGTTAAGCACTTTGGTCAAGCGTGCATAAAACACGTCGCAAACTGACCATTTCATACCAGCCTCATCGATACCGATGTTCTGTGACATACCCAGGTATTATTATTATTATTATTAATTGTTTTTACTCTAATCCTTGTTGTTCTCGGAGTGATAAGTTTACAATTTGACATGAGTGACGAAGAGTCGAATAGTCGGAGTAGTGAGAGTTGGAGTTATAGATCTAAAAGACCTAAAAGTAAATTTGATGAGTTTTTCGACATAATTCATGCATCCCAAATTGCTTTGTGTAAATTATGCCAACATAAAAAGGTTGACATAAAAATGAAAAACAGAAACACTTCAGGCTTAAGGAAGCATCTAATATCTTACCACAAAAAGGAATCACAAATATTTCTTCCTGAAAAACCAAAATTAAGTGGAGATATCACAAGCTTTTTAATAACCACTGGAAAAAGTGGACAGGTAAGAAAAAATATACGTATCACACAATTATATAACACATATATTATGTAACTAGCGGCCGCCTGCGACTTCGTCTGCGTACAATATCTGATTTCCTATGAGATTTTGAAATTTTCTCGCTGCAAAAGTCTTACCTAAGTATAAAGAGGCTATATAGGTAAAGCTTAACTACGAAAGTATTTATTATTTAAAACTAATAAAGTAAATGTCGATCTTCATATCTATACTTTAAAAATATAGGACTTGCATGTAACCATTTTACCCCAATTTCACCCCCTTAGGGTTAGGATTTCGTAAAACAGCTTATTCAGGATTTTATTATTGAAAACTTATAACTTTAAAGCCGATTTCCGTGTCTCTAACTTCAAAAACGTAGGACTTTCATACAAACTTCTAACTCCCATTTCACTCCCTTAGGGATAGATTTTCTCAAAACCGTTTCTTAACTGATCTCTACGCCATAAAAGGAACCTACCTTAGAAACTTCAAGTTTGTATGTTTTATAGTTCCTGAGATATCGTTGTAGTCAGTCAGTGAGTGGTAGTTATATATATATATATATATATATATATATATATTATATATATATATATATATATATGTATGTGTGTGTGTTAAATATGTCTTTATAATTCACTCATATTTTATATAAAGTCGGATATTCTGTCTCATGCGTCCTCCACCACTCTAAACTGTCTTCCGAACTGGCGGCTCTGGGTTTACTTAGGTACTCCGGTACTCCTCCAACTCGTCTATAACTAAGCCTTGATGAAAAGATCCAGATCCAGATGACGTCGAGAGACATGCATACAATTTCTTAAAGTCTATTACGTCTTCATCTTCATCGTATTCACATACTTTCTTTTCATTTCTTGGTGATTATAGAGACGTATTCACTGAGTGTAGAATTTTTTATTCTTTATAAAGTTCATTAAATTTGCGCAGGCTTCCTGTTTTAATTTGCTTCCCCCATAATGTAATGTCAAAAGTCTGAGTCTTATGCCTTGGGTCTAAAATTAAAGCAGGCGTGAGTGTTTATTTATTTATTTATAAATTAATTATGACGATTTATTCGATTTGAAATCACTTGAGAAGAACATGAATTTTCTGAATGAATTTAATATTGCGGTAAAAGTCAATGGTGATGTTAGACTGGTGACATCAAAAGTATTAAATTCACCAAGAATTGTAAAAATTACCAATATAGAACTACCTACAAAGCTGAAAATTGGGAGGAAGCAAAAGCTATTGTTCAACCAAAAAAAAAAAAAAAAATACGTGGCAATAGAGGCAATCGAAGAATTGATGAAAATATCTTGAAACAAGCTACACTTCAAAAATACCAATTACAGAACGTAAAAAGCGTGATTTATTGCAATTATTGGCGGCTAATCTCGTGCCAAGATACTATGAAAGTTTTTACGACGATCTCATTTAATTTATATTTTACCTATGTTGGTATTATTGTTTGTAGAAACAAAGCCACATTTACACTTGCAGGGAAAACAATTTTATTGTAACCGGAGCGTTAAAGACTTCCTGATTTTCCTAAGTAAAATAATTTGTATTTGATACTGTTGATTATTACGTAATTAGATTTAAATACTATACGGGTACAACGACTGTGATTAAAACACCTAATTAATAGTAAAGTTCTATGGATTATTGCAATGACAACGTTGCACGCCCTTGATTAACCTGAAATTGTCACAATTCTTTAAGTTTTTAAGTTTGATTACTAAATTTGTATTAGAGGTAAGTAAAAGAATATGATACAGTTGATTATTGAGTAATTATATTTTTTAAATGCCATACGTGATCGATCAATGATTCATTGAACACGAAACTTCGCCTAATTAATAGTGAGAAGATGACTGTTATTTAAAAGTCTGATTAATAGGAAAGTTCCATGTAGAATTGCTACTATAATAAATATTTTTTTAGAAATTTATAATTTCGTGTTTTATTTGTTTTGATATAATTGTCCGATTGTTTTCTAGTGCCATAACGTCACTTCTGCGAGGGTAATAATTTTTAAACGTTTATATTTTTTTTAATAGTAAATAGTGAGATGTTTGCTTTTACTTCAAAATGGAGTTTAAAGTTGTAGTTTAAATATTATAATTTTATTTCTTTAATTGAGAGGAACTATATGTTGTAATAGGATGTTGAATTTTCAAATGCTTCTCCTGAAAAATTACATTATTTGTATAAGTGAAGTTATAGCACCGTATGTGCGATATCTATCTTATCTCCTTTCATCATCTTTTGCCATTTCTATATGAAGGTAAATTAAAAGCGATTTTTTATTTTTTAATCTTTATTATGAATCATGAAATTGTTACGATAAAAATTAATGTTATTCTAATGTACTTGTTACATACAACATTGAGTCACTTCAGTCTCCTAATATGATTATTAATTTAAATTTAAGCTATGGTTAAGAATACATGTCATGTCAGAGAAAAACGTGTCCCGGTAACATTTTTACAATAATCTATGCCATAAAATTGCAGTCTCTATTCTAAAGAAATTTATTAAATAAATACCTAATTCCATCAGTTATGAAAGAAGAAAGTGAATTCACATTGATTTGTCACATTTAAATTTGATTTAATGTCACTAAAATATATATATATATATATATATATATATATATATATATATATATATATATATATATATATATATATATATATAAACACAAAAAGTTTTATATTCCATACTAATTTCGTTCATATTTTTTTTAAATTTCCATAATTTTATTGACTTTTTATATTAATTTTGTGTCTATAACATTTTAAATACTAAAAATTCCCATTACTGTATTACATTTCTACCGACGACTTCTATGTATGTATATAATAATATGAAAGTTACTGAAAAACGTTAATTTTCAAAATTTTATTGAAAAAAAATTGAAAACATAGAGAAATATGTAAATACATACCTACAAATAAAAATAAAAATATATCTACGTAAGCAGGTGAAGGAAGCGTAATCTAAGATCAATTTGAACTTAACACCGAAATTATAATTTTTATAATAAATTTGAGATAAACATATATTTGGTTTATTAAAATAACAAAAACAATTTGATATTATCAATTGTTTCGATAAGCATGCAGTTTAATCTATGATGGTTTTATAGCTAAATGATTAAAGTTAGGAAAAATGTTAATTTTTCTAAACTGATTTAAATTTTAATAATCGTCGAAGATTATAAAAAAGTTATTAAGTATTTAACACTAATTATTAAAACTGCTATAACTACTATAACGTATTTAATTATTACAAAGGTTTCATTGGAAAAGAAAAGTAATTATGTAAATGTGCGTTTATGATTCAATCTCAACTTTCATCTAGGTATGCGGTAGAACTCTAGTTAGTGTGTGGTGTACCTAGGAATTGCACAATCATTACGTACGTACGTTAATTTTGTTCTTGACAGTTTTTTTTTCAATTTATAGCTCGACATTTTAACAGAGTTGTGTTTGTTTACATAAATTAGTATATAGAGTGTCAGAAAAATGTTAGTTTCACAATATAATTCATATATTGAAGCAGTTAATCGGCTATAACGACATTAAAGGGAAGGGAACATTCAAGCGTACCAGACGCTATACAACTTTAGTTGTTATATTAGCTATAATATTAAACGTTAATAATATTTATGTAGTTTATATCGCTTTCTGTTAAAATGGACTTATTTGTGGTTGCGGTTTTTTTAATGTTTATATTATCAGTTGGAACCTGGCCATTTTGTGACAATAACCAATCCATCCGGTTCGACTGTAGTTACTTTTCCATTTTTAAAAGTGCATTATCCTTGTCAGGAAAGATAAAGGAGAATTAATCAATATAAATCAAGGTTTCACTTTTCTACTATAAAGGTATTTTTTTCTTTTTCAGAGAACATAGATGATCGTGAAATCACTACTTAATTTTGTCTTTAACATACAAAACGTTGTTCTAATAAGTAATTGTTTTAGTTAATTCATTGCAGTTGATTAAGTTTTAAAGTAATATTTTTCGTTTCTTTCTGATAATTTAAATTTTAAGTAACACATACTCAACCTTAAAGAAAATAATGCAGATCTTTACAAAGTAAAATTTAAATAAATTATGTTAAAAAATGCCATCAATTATTTTTTAAAGAACAAAAGTATGAATTATAGGTACTTAGTAGTAACAATGGTAAATTATTCTAAAGCTAAATCATACTAATACAATTAATCTCACTTTTGATGACTTGAGATACTTAAAAGGTTATTTAGACGAGAGACATAAAATTTATAAGCTATGAAATTACAGCTTCTTGTACCAGAACAAATAATGCTCCCCGTCTTCCACGAGTAGGTCGTCAACACCTGGAATTTAAAATTATAATTGCATCATGTTTATATCAAAGATATTAAATAAAATTATTAATTATAGGATATAGATCGGACATTGGTCAACTTTTTATATATAAACCGTGGCGCTATCACCGACATGTACCATCATTACAGCCTTTCAAAGCCTACTAGAACTTCCCCTCTTCCATAGATTGCCTTAGAGAGAGGATATTTGCCATGATTGCCACGCTTGGCAGGTAGGTTTTATTATTATTTTGAATAGTTACTTGGAAGATACTTATACGTGGTAGAGCCATGCTGCAGTTTTATTAGTAGTATAGTTGTAGCACGAATGAGTCGGCTCGACCGGGGAAGGACCACGCTCTCGCAGAATACCAGCGTGAAATAGTAGCTTAATGCTGCTGTGTTTCGTATGGTGAGTGTAGAGAACCGGAGACCCTTTTTACTAGAAAAGAGGCATTCCATCTTAGTTCTCACGGGTGACAACGCATCTGCATTTTGATTTGTAGTCGAGGATAGATGTAGATGACTATGGGCCGTAACAACCACTTACCATGAGGTGGACTGTGTGCTCGTTTGTCAACCTATCCTATAAAAAAAGATATTGCTGGCCAAACCCTCTTACCCGGTCACTACAAGGCCGTAAACAGTTAACACTTGCACTTGATGATATTGTCGTTATTTTCTAATCGCTGCAGAAATAAGGCCAAATATCTTGGAATTGTTGGTCCGCGAATTTATTTAAAAAGACGTAAGTTACATTTTGTCTATATAAAATTGAAGTAAAAAACTCATCAATAACTTTGCATCGTTTGTGGCATTATATAAATTGCAAATAGCAGTGTATGCTGTATGCTATGTGTGCCATAGGTACTCGTATTTGGAGACTTCCTTGCGTAAAGTTGGTTGCAGGAGTCTACGGGCATGGCAGTAAGCACTTACCATCAAGTTGTAATAATCTGGTAAGTTTTGTATTCATAACAATGAAGTCCCTCGTGTTTGTAAACGTATTAATGCTTTTTACTTTATTTAGGACAACAAGCAATTATAACTAACAGTTTACTTTGGACACTTGATCAAATAGTGTTGTAACAAGCTCTGTTATCCACAAACCAGTTAGTGTATAAGTATGCATTTTATTTTACCACGTTTTTATTAACTCGCTTTCTTATAATATGTCTGTTCAGTTCAAATTTAGTAATTAATAGATTTTAAACTAACTTCTCGAAGAGAGAGAAAGTCTTGAAACAGAGCTCGGAATCGGACCAAAAAATAAGAATATGTAAAAAAACCATAAAAGAATTTTATACTTTTAGTTATTTTTAACGTGGTATTTAAAATATACCTAAACTTTGTCAGAAATTAAATGGACAAACGAGTTAAAATTTCCATCATGAAACCTGGGACAGAAACACATCACTAGATAGACTGCTGCTTTACGGTACTGTGTACACAGTCTTACTTTAGATTTCTTTTGTGGCTAAAGGCTTTGTAAGTAGCCAATGCCACAATAAATAAAACATTGTTTTTTTCTCATTAGACTCACCAACAGGTGCGACGAGCTGGTTGCCAGGCGGGCTGGTGGGGTCGGGCACCTCGGGCAGGCGGTACAGCAGCCAGTAGTGGTAGCCCATCGGTTCCTCCTTGTGCCCGGCCAGCGTGTGCACGTAGTGTCCGTTCGGCCACTCGCTCGCCTCGAACTTGAACTTAGGGTCCTGTGCCGCCGCCATTTGCATTACGTGGTAAAATGATATGTTCCTGAAACGAGGATAAATTTCTATTAATAGTTACATCAAAGTAACGTTTCTGTGATATATGATATATATTTTTAATACAAGGACGCTCTTAGATCTTACAGAGTTTTTTACTGGGAAAAAAAGGTAGTCCGTCAAAGTCCTCAGGGGTTACAATACATCTGCAGTTTGATTCTTAATGGAGGATAGATTGCACAGCATCTACTTACCATCAGCTGGGTTGTGTGCTTGCTTATACTGAAAACTATTATCTCCACAAGAAGGTTGTGAGTATTAGATACTTCCAGATCTTTATATGGTTAACGGTCAACCCCACGGATGATGTATCATCACACATCATCCTTACTTGTTTAAAAAATCATTTAAATTTTGTTGTACATGTAAATCATTTTTTTACGTGATAGAGGCATTCTGCAGCTAGATTAGTGGTATAGTTGTAGCACGAATGGGTCGGCTCGACCATGGAAGGACCACGCTCTAACAGAATACCAGCGTAAAATAGCAGCTGAACGCAGCTGTGTTTCATATGTAGGGAACCGGAGACCCTTTATACTGGAAGCGAGGCATTCCATCTTAAGTCATCACGGGTGACAACGCATTTGCATTTTGGTTTGTTATCGAAGGCAGATGTAGATGTCTATCGGCCACAGCAACCGCATAACTTCAGGTGGACTGTGTGATAGTTTGTCACTCTTATCCTATAAAAAAAACGTAATAATTTCTACCGTGCAGTGGTGGTGTAAGATTATCCACAATCCCATATCATCCCGTGGGTGTCGTAAGAGGCGAACAAAGGAAACAATCAGGAGATGGCAGCAGCGTCTTCCTTATATCGTGGACCCGCTTACCAAGCGTGGGCACTATAATAAATAGCCTCCTTTGAGAATTTACCCTCCAATCTACGGGGGTGGCTGTAGCGGAGACGGTACAACTTGCAGCGTCAATACATAATAGCTAATATAGTTAACATTATATATCGTTTACTATCTCACCTCGGCGCCACCATATACAGCGTGTAGTTTTCAGTGACATTGGTCCCGAGCCACAGTGTGTATGTGAAGGAAACGTTGCGCACCTCTGAATCGTTATTGTTGTGTCCAGATTGATATGCCAGTTTTAGACTGCCGTCGCCGCCATTACTGTCTGTAAATTTGAAAAAGAAAATGTTTATGCTGCTCTCATATTGGATCATCTCTCATATGTTTGTAGTGTCGTGTACTTCCGTGTAGTGTCAGCGGTAGAACAGAATTCATCAGCCAAATTCGTCACATGTGAAAGAAAAGATAGAAGAAGTAAGAGTGACTATGCGAAGTGCTACAAAATGGTTTCCGATAGACGGTGGTTTCTTCATGTTTACCGTCAAAGGTGTGAGGCATCTATCTGATACTACGATTCTTGATCGAAAAAGATTTTACGATATAACGAAAGATTACTGCAACATAATGCAAAACAAAGATATTACGTTCTCGTTTCTGTAGAAATAAAATTAATTATCCAATCATAGTTAATTTTACAGCTTGCAAGAAGTTAATAAAATCCGAATCAAAATTTGCTGTTCTATTATTAACTAGCGATCCGCCCGGTTTCTCAACAATAGCGCCATCTACTGGAAAATCTTTGAAATTCTCACTTACTATAATAGGCATAAATTATAGACACAAACCTTCCTCTTCAAACATTCTGTCTATTGATCAAAACCGCATCCAAATCCGTTGCGTAGTTTAGAAGATCTAAGCGTATAGACGGCGGGAAGCGACTTTGTTTTATAGTACACAGAAAAGATATTGCTGCAGATATATTTAATTTCCTATAATATCAATTTTAAGACTGCCAATATCACATTAATTGCTGATCTACATAGTTATTATTGTCGACTACTTAAAGCAGCTCAATTTATAGAGTATACATAACCAAGCTTACTTCTTAGGTTTACTCATAGAATACTATAATACACAATAGAATGGCTGTCAAACTTATTTCGTACGAGATTCGGCGTCGCCGGGAGCACACATACAAGCAATTACGTCGTATTATAACTACTACAAACCAGATATGCTGTGTTGACAGACTGAGTAAATTCACATATTTTAGACTTTTATTAATGTTTAAAATCATCATCGTTTAAATTTAAAATACATATTTATATGTAAATAGTGTGCAATTTGGTATTTTCTAAATAATTTGCATGCGAAATTTGGAAACGATTGTTACGTCAAAACACATCTCGTGTTGACATTTATACGTGTGAATTGACATGTTAGTGGCTACATGGACTCCGCCCACTTCCCCGTTCTATTATGTATGTATTATAGTATGCTATGGGTATACTCAAAGCTCAATTCACTTTATTTGCTGACCAAACATATTTAGTAGCTGACCACAAACTCTTGAATTAATTAGCTGACCGTTTATATGATAATTGGCCAATTATAAATAATGTAAACGAGAGCAAGTTCTGCTAACAAACCGAGTAACAATTTGGCAGATTATGTGCTAAAAATTATATGAATTAAAAAAGAATTTGTGTGACAGCTTTAGATGGGGATGGAATTTTGAGTGATGTCGCATTGTAATATGGTGAGGAGGTAAAGTTGGTGGTCGTTACCCATGGGCTCGTGGCGCGTGTCGAGCAGCTTGTCGCTGCAGTGCGGCGGGCGCACGGCGGCCAGCGAGGCGGGCGTGAGTGCGGCCACCGCGGCCGCCGTGCCCGCCACGTCGCCCCAGCCGCCGTCAGCGCGCTGGCGCTCCAGCAGCCACTTGCGGGCCGCCGGTAGGCTCCAGTGCTGGTGCCCCGCACCACCCGGTCCGCCCGCGCCGCTCTCCGACTCCTCCAGCGCCTTCAGGCACCACCCACGCACACTTAATCTCATTGCTGCTCCATTTTCAATTATCGTATTTTAATTTTGACGTGAATGTATCTTTAAACTTATTACCAGAATGAGAAGCAATCCAAAAAGCTAATAATAATATAATCGGGGAATACAGTTTGATGTTACAGCTACATATCTACGAGTATCGTTAATGTATCTTAAGGATCAAAGAATTACTTAATACAGAGCTTGTAATACTGCAATACTGTCGGTCAGTATTCTGATGGAGAAGTCTTTTACCTTCCTAGAATCTATTGCTATGGCCGCTTGGTTGATACCCATGCATTCAGCCTAGAAGACTGTGTTATGGGTACCCAGCGGTGTGCATATGTGGACATTAAGGTCATCAGAGAAATCCCCAGACCCCACACCATCATTTGTCTTAGAACCATCCGTTAAAACTCTGAGCTCTTTTGATCCCAATACTTCCAGCTAGTCAGTTTTCTCCAATCGTATCCTGTACTTCTTATCAAATACAAATTGTTTTGGGATCCTATCATACTTTGCTTGTAAGATAGGAATTTTTGAGTAAATTCTATCAATTATATCTGTGTGGGGGACTCTACTCTTACTTAAAAGATTAAGGGTCTTGAGTCTAATGGCAGCTAAAGTTGCTTCTTGTTGTATATGTAGATGAAGCGGTGTTCTCTAAAGCTGCTGTTGGTGTTGTCCTTATGCAGCCCGTAGCAGCCATACAAGCCAATCTCTGGTAACGCTGAAGCTTTCGTATAGTGGTGGCTTCGTTAGTTTTAGTCCACCATACCAGAGAGCCGTATAATTTTTGGCGTCAAACCCCATTGTTTGCCAATCATGTTTCTGCATTGCCAAAAAGTTAAACTAGCTTTGTTGATTTTATTTTCTATGTGTTTATTCCAGTTAAGTTTACTGTCCAAGGTAAGACGACGCACGTTGAGAGAGTAGGAGGGAGCGCCGCCGTTTGAGGTCGTTTCGTACATGCATTCACGTAAAACACGGCCTTTTCTCTGACATAGTCACATCCAGCTTTGATTTTTATTTTGTGCGAGCAGCTAATAAGACCAGTATCACTGCGACCAGTGAAATTAATTTTAATCGCTGCCATGGCTATAGTTTACTGCTAAGCCCCATATATGACAATATATATATATATATATATATATATATATATATATATATATATATATATATATATATATATATATATATATATAAAACAGGGTGTAAGTGTAAACACCGTTATCCTTGAAACCAGTGGTTTCGTTTCACTTATAGAAGGTAAATTCAACGAATTTAAAAAAAAATACGCTATTTTCTTTCATAAACTTCAAAAGTTTCTGTCCGAGTATATATAGTCTAGACTTTAGATTCATACCAACAAAGAAAGAAAGACGGAGCGCCGTGTAGATTATAGGTGACAAAAAACCAAGCCAAATCCATGCTCGACTTATTGTATGAACTCGCACTTACGTACACATTTGTATCTTAAATAATTTGCAACCAAAAACATGTTTCTAAGTGCCATATTACGTAGATCCAGTAGTACATTCACCACCTGTTATGAAAAGAAAAAAGAAAGATGTGTGCATGTTAAGATGAGCACAGTTTTTGCGTCGCTTGCAACATACGTCTATTTTTCTTTTCTGGTCTGAGGGTCTAGACTAAAACTTTACGATCTGAGGTTATGACGATTTCGAGCGCTTAAACTGACAACTACAACGTTAAAATTTGAGTCTAGACTAGATGATACACAAGTCTTGGCGAGGAAGATACTCTCTCCAAGGAATTTATTCTTCTTCTTCTTCTTAAAGTGCCATCTTGTTTCGAAGGTCGGCGATCATTAAGACAACTTGAACCTTTATGGATGATAATAATCCCTGAGAAGGGTGATCGCTACCAAGCTATTTCTTATTTGTCTTGTGTCCTTACAAGTATACATGATTGTAAGCTATTAATTAAAAAAAAATTATCCCGCTGGGTTTCTTGCTGCTTCTTCCCAGGACAGAGGTTTTTTTGCGAACCAGTGGTAAATGAAAAAGTGACTTTCAATAAGTATTGTTTATAATCTACATTGAATAAAAAGTTTCTGTTCTGTTCTGTTCTTGGCCGTGGACTCCTTTTAGACGCTTTTTTTCATCCAACTATGTTATTTGAAAATAAATTTAATGAATATGTATAAAAATACCGTTAGATTAATCATGATACCCCAACCACGGGTTGTAATCGTGAGGGTAGTTATTTAGGCACAGCTTGATATAGAACACCCAAATATTCCAGGAGGAATCGGTGCATGGGTACGGAAAACTATTCCACCAAATTTTTTTAATGCGATTCTCTTCAATTGTCCTACTGATAATATGCACGTTGGCAAGAGGCAAATCGGTGCCATATTGTTTAAAAAAGTTTTTTTCAGTTGCAAGGAATTGTTATTTTCAAACGGGACATTTTTTTAACGTTCTTTGATGAAATAAGAATTAAAAAGGCCCTATGACTTTTTACGATAAAGCTTTTTTTTGCGATTCTCTTCAAATTATATATCAGAAATAAATTTTAAGGGAATTACATAAAAAAATTGAGGTAGATAGTTTTCGCTACTCATGCGCCGAAATAGTTTTATCAAAAAAGTATTTTCTTATAAGGGGTTAATTTTTTTTCATGGTACTAAAACGGTTTAACTCAAGTGTATCTAGATGAAGGAAAAAGTTTAAATAAACCGTATATCTGCAAAATTATTTGGCATTTTTAAAATTGTTCGGCATTTTCGATTAAAAAAAGGAATGATAATAAGTATCAAATAAAAGTAACCTGTATGGCGAGAGCAGTAGTGGTGAGGGATCCAAAACTGCCATCAGGGTGCTGCTGGCGAGCCAATCCTGCCATGGGACGACGCACGAAATGGAGGAGGCTGCGGTGACGGTGATCTTGTACAACGCACCGAAGAGCAAGGATTACCATAGATATGGTGTCTGTAAACAAAGTAGTTACAAAAGTTGAAACACTAGTTTCTAAATTTATTGACGCTTGTTAAACGCATGATGGAAATGCCACATTTCACGACGTTTTTATTAAACTTTCAAATTACTGAATACTTAACTAAAAATAAAAAAATCGTGTAAGTATTCGCTGATATTTGCTATATAATTTTGTACGTGATAGAACCCCGCCGCAGCTACATTACGGTTGTAGCACGAATGAGCCGGCTCGACCGTGGTATGACCACGCTCTCGCAGAATACCAAGGTAAAATATAAGCTTAATACTGCTGTGTTTCGTATAACGAGTCTAGAGAATCGGAGACTCTTCCTACTGGATACGAGACATTCTATCTTAGTCCGAAGGTTTGACAACGCATCTGCATATTGATTCTTGATTGGGGATAAAAGTATATGTCTATGAGCTATAACATCCATTTACCATAAAATGGACTGTGTTCTCGTTTGTTTAGAATTAGGATTCTGGAAAAAAAAGAGAAGAAATCATTTCCGGTGCCTTTGTACATAATTTTGTTTTTACCATTTTCCTATCAAAGTATGTGTGTATATAAACTGTTAAATAAATAAATAAATACCCAGGCTATGGTCTGCGGCAGCGTTCGCGATGTCAAGCAAGCGACGTATATGCCGGCGTCGCACATGCGCGGCGGACGAGCAGGCCGCGAGCGTCGCGTACGCGAACTCCAGGTCGTGGGGCGGCTCGCGGTGCAACAGCGCCGCCACGAGGTCGCGGCCGTGGAACGAACGCGGGTCCTTGCAGAGAGCGCCGAGCGCCAGCGTGTAAGCGGCGCGCCGTCCGAGCGGGGGAGGCGATTCGTGGTGTCTGCGGTGTAAGAATCGCATGTGTAGATGCGGCGTAAAAAGATTATATAAATAATCCTGCCTCTGGTATGTACATCACATGTGTAGAGGGACCGTTAACGAACTTATATAAGTAATCCTCTTCCTGCTTTCTTTACCAATTAAATTCCACTGCCGAACATAGGCTTCAACGTAGATTATATTGTACTGTATTATATTATATATTATACTACTTATATCATATTATACACTAGTAATGCGGCTTCGCATGGGCGATTTTTTGATCTCGACGACAGCGCTATCTACCAGGTCCAATAGTGAAAAGCCTCCCATGGACCTACTCAAACACACAAAAATGTTCATCAACATCGATTCAGCTGTTTGGAAGGAGTTGAGTGACAAACACATGTATAGGAGAATTCGTATATATATATATATATATATATATATATATATATATATATATATATATATATAAAGATTATACTTCTATAAGGTTGACGATAACCTCTGGGAATGAGGTGGTCCCTGCTAATCTATGATTTGTATACCTAGTTAGTTGTGTACTACAATAATAAGTTAATAATGTCCTCCAGACCGAATTTCGGTCATGGTGGCCTCCTTAACGGAGACTAGCTATCGGCGCAGGACAGGATTATAGTGTCCGAATGTATGCGCCAGCACAGGTGCACTCCCTATTCCCTCATTTTCATAGTCCGATGGAGCGAATGGCTTTACGTGCTTGTCTAGCTTTTCTAGGTAGGGTTGAGACACCGCCAACTCCCTGACTCCGGGCAGTTAATGAGAAATTCTTGGCCCGCCCCGGGATTCGAACCCAGGACCTCATGATCGGCAGTCGCACTACTACAACGACTAGACCAACAAAGCAGTGTGTAGTATAATTCATGATTGTAAGCTGTTCTTTTATTTTAAAGGTCCCGCTCGGTTTCTAGCTGATTCTTTCAAGGACGGAGATATTTATCGAACCAATAATAAATTAAACATAAGAATGCATTAACCCGATACCCGATATCATCCCGTGGTTGTCGTAAGACGTGATAGAAAAAAATTGAAACAGGAGAAAGACAGCATCTTTCTGATAACAGCTCAGAATAATAAAAAAAAACTGCGACTATCACCAGTGGCAACTATGGCACTAATTTCTATTTCTATTTCTATTTCTCCTCATACGGAAAAATAGAAAAAGAAATTAGTGCCATGGTTGCCACAGGTGGTACCCACAGTTTTTTTTAAATATTTTGAGTTGTTATCAGGAAGATGCTGTCCATCTCCTGTTCAAATTCTTTTCTCTCACCTCTCACGACAACCATGGCATGATATCGGGTTACGGGCCGGTAAAGGAGAAGAAGACTCTACTCACTTCGACATCATTAACAATATCTCGATTTCCATCTGTTTTGCCGAAAGCTGCATTTCCAGGCCTTGTTGCTCGATTTCCTTGCCGGTGTTGTTAGCCAGCTACAAAAAAATAAACGTAAGTCACACAGATTATATAATAAGAAATAGTACACAAAAGAAATAATACACAGATTATATAAGTAAAATAAAAGTATATTTGTGACTTCAGTTAGATGGAGGTAACCCGCTCGAAAAGCCAGTTCCAATGAAAATATCTAAGGCAGGGTCCAAGATGTATGCTACTGTGATTGTTAGTCTAGTTTTTTTTTAAAAAAAGAAGGTGACACTCGAGCACACAGTTCACTTAATAATAATTGAAATACTGTACCTACCTCATAAACACCTTTATCTACCATCGATTAAAAATCAAAATGCGTTGTCACCTTTAACATTGCTGGAATACTTCGTTACCAGTAAATAAACCTACTGTTCTCGTCACTCACGCAGCAGCATTGTTCTAGGAGTGCGTGCTTCTATCCCGTTCGAGCGACCCACTCTTACAAAAAAAAAAACGGAGTAACACTTTTGCCCCAGCCACAACACAGCTACAGTGTGGCTCTAACACTTTATATTGCTCATTCGGCTTTCAATTGTGGTTCTATTTATATATAGGCTTAACACGTGGTAGAGCCACGCTGCAGTTATATTATGGTTGTAGCATGAATGGGTCGGCTCGACCGGGGAAGGACCACGTTCTCACGAAATACCAGCGTAAAATAGCAGCTTAATACTGTAATAATAATTCGGAGACTTTCCAGTCTTTTTTACTGGAAACGAGGCATTCCATTTTAGTCGTCAGGGGTGACAGCGCATATGCGTTTTGATTCTTAATCGAGGATAAATGTAGATAACTATGGACCACAGCATTCACTTACCATTAGATGGACTGTGTGTTCGTTTGTCACGATTATTCTATAAAAAAATGGCTTAACTCGTGACTTTATACACAATGAATATAAGGAATTCATGTGTAATTTATGTATCTGTGTAAAATGCCTCTAACATACGACAGATATTTCAATTCTGGGGGTAACACTTTTAAAAATATAAAGAAAAATTAAAAAACAAGAGAAATATTCCATCCATGAGGCACTCTACTTGAGTCCTCAGAGGTGACAACGCGTCTGTAGCCTTCTTTTTTAAGTAGGTTATAGGTCCATGAGCTGTAAGTTTGTTTGTCGCTACAGTTTTAATTAAAAAAAATAAAGAGCTAAGCCAGACGTTATGGTAAAAAGGCCGAACATCCTTAATTTTTTAGTCTTAGTAAAATGAAATTTTTTGAAGTAAAACAATGCTTTTTAGCTTTTACCATAAAATCCTCAATTGTAACGAAATAACAACAATTGAATAAATCCTTTTTCTTTATTATTAATCATTGAATTTACATTACATTACAATAATAATTTCAATTAATGCTATAGTATATATTTAAGCACATGAAAAATGTAAATAAATTGTCAAATTTAAAAAGGCTAACAAAAGCCGGGCAGGCTGGACACAGTCTAATTTGGCCGGACACGCAAGCAAAAAGCCTGGCTGTTTCCGGCTTTATCCGAACGCCTGGCAACGCTAATCATACCGTTAGGCACAAGTGTGCCCTGAAGTGGTGTCTCTAGTGAGTCCATGAACCCATTTGGCTTCGTGGTGTTCGTAGGAGGCGATAATGAGGTAGGCCCCATAGATCTTATGGTTTAAGACAGATGGCGGTATTACCACGATCGCACATCTGCCTGCCAAACGTAGCGAGGCCGATGTCCAGCGTTGGAATTTTGAACAAGAAGACAGTATTGAAGTGAAAACTTCTTTAGACGCGTTTTTTTAAGTGTGACAAACAAGCAGACAGTCCATCTGATGTTAAGTGGACGCTGTGACCCATAGACATCTACATTTATCTTCAGTTAAAAATCGAAATGCGGATGCGTTGCCAGCCCTGAGGACTGAGGTGGGATGCCTCGTTTCCAGTAAAAAGGGTCTTCAGTTCTCTACCTTCATCATACGAAACATATCAGCATTAAGCTGCTATTTTACGCTGGTATTCTGTGAGAGCGTGGTCCTACTCCGGACGAGCTGATCCATTCGTGCTGTAACCACAATATTGCTGCAGCATGGCTCTATCACGTAAAAATGAACGATTTTTGGTAGAAAACATGCGGCCTAGTTGATAGTACTACCGTCGTCCGTGAACAAGTGCAACACCAGGAAGAATTGCACGTGATTTGCCGACCATTTAAAAAGAGTATGCACTTTTCTTGGTTGCTGGGATTGAAAATACAACGCTGTATTTAAAAGCTGAAATGAGGATATCATACCTGTAAAGTAAGCATGACGTGGTGGGTATCGTTTCCCCATCCCCAGTCAGGTTGACGATGCTGAAGAAGATACTGCAGAGCCTTCTGTATTGCTTGACCCTCGTTCAGAGTCTCCGTCTCCCAAACTACGGTTGTAGTGGTGGACGGGGTGGTGGTAGGGGGCGCTTTTGTTGTTAAGGTTGTGGGAGGCTCAGTTTCTGTAAAACAATGAGATCACAATTTTAATAGTAAAATATATTAAAGGGGAGCGTAACATGTCCTTATAATATACGGACATTACACACAAAATATATACTTTATATAAAAAACTAGTCATCTACTCCGGTTTTGCTGACCTTACGGTCCTAACAATGTGACATTATTAAGGTTAAAGATAATCATCAAAAAGAATTATTTAGTGGTCAATTTTTCGATTTATCAAAAATGTCCAAGTTATTCGGATACAACATAGCCCAGATGAATCCTGGCGTTGCTTTCTATTTTATCGTGAAGTTGCGTTTTGACAGACATTCAGACAGACAGACGAAATTTAAAAAAAGGATTATGTCTTAATGAAATGCACATAACCCAATACAAGCCAATCATATCGATATTATAAACAGACAATACATTTAACTAGATGACCTTTTTTTTAAAATAACACGTGAATGGTTAGAAGCCTATGGCACAGATATTTTACAAAAAAAATTTTTGAATTAAATAAATAAATTATTTAAAATCAATCGAAATTCAAATCATATTATAAAATTCCATACTAGAACTATATACACCTAGTCAGGCGGGACCGGTATGTACTCGAACATTCTAGATGTTTCAGTAGAAGAGGCCCTATATAAGATTGGTAATGACCGCGACCGAGTCAGTATTGAATTGCCGATGCAAGCGAATACTTCGAAGCAATATAACTGTGAACTAGAGTGAAATTGTGTTTTATTATTAGTGTGTTTTAAGTTGTAATTGGTGTTCGGTAATTAAAGTGTCAATTTTGGTAATTCAATCGGCAATTGTTATTGTCACGAACCTGGCTCGTAACAGTGTTACTAAACCCAGTATAAAAATGCATTAAATGATATCACAGACAAATATATAGATTGAAAACTTTCAGCTAAAACGTAGAGCTGGGTGGATGTGGAGGTGTAGGAAGTTGTAGAAGGTACCGGATGGTAAAACTTAAGAAAACGACACAAGGAGCCTTAGATCGATGAAGTGAAGGAAGTTATTAAAACCATTGTTTTGATATCAAACTAACACAAAGGACATCGTTGATCGCTTTGTTAGTCTAGATGCCGTAAAATGCGTCTGCTGATCAAGAGGTCCTGGGTTTTAATCGCAAGTTGGGCCAAAAAATCAGTTATTAAAGTTTTTCTGACAAAAAATTCTTAGTAGTGATCTAGGCCGTATCTTATCCGAAAAACTTGGAGTATTCCATAGTATTGTGAAATCTAAAACTTGTAAAATAAGTGACCATTGATGAGTATTTAAAAAAAACATAAATGACGCCACAACAGTATCGTTAGTGAACAATAAAAATAATTAACAACTCTTACTTACCGGTCTGAGCGTACGCGTTGGCTAGAATCAAGAACTGGATGAAAACCGTTGCTACGCGTCCAAACATATTTACTCTGAAACGATAGAGAAATAAATAATTTTAAAAATAAAAGGCGTAATTAAAATTATGCGTTGATTAAAACTGGTAGAGACTTGGTAGCGCAGATGCTCAGTGCTCGCTATAAATTTCAAAGTACACGAATACCCTGGTTAAATCCCCGCAGGGTCCAATGAAATTGTTAGTTGCAATTTTAAGTGTTGATTTAGTTCAGCGGTAAAGGAAAACAGCGTAAGGAAACTAAGGTTTAAAAATAAACAAGAACGCAAGAAGTCCGCTAACGCATATTGTAGCGTAGTGGTGGAATAATTGCACCAAAACTCTTTCAGAAATGAGACGAGGCCTGTGCCCCGCAGTGGGATGAATAAAAACTGTAACTATAACTAACAAAAACTTGTTGCTTTAATTGAACTTATAATGATTTTGTGATCGATCTGCAATACTAAAATGCTAAACTGAAATTACTAATGATTTCTTAAATTTACGAGAACACTACACATTGAATAAAACTATATTTACGGATTTTATCGCCTTTAATTAGTATTTTAACTTATTTTTGATTTCCGACGTTTAGGATGCTTTACAGCACCCATGGTCACGGGGGGGGGCTGAGGTGTTTGACATCCCAATGTCATAGTCAGCCCGGCTACCTTCAGTTTTTGAAAATTCGGGAATTAAAAATAAGTTAAAATAGTTAATTAAACGCGATAAAATCCGGAAATACAGTTTTATTCAACGAAAATTACTATTTTTAGCCGACTTCGAAAAAAGAGGAGGTTCTCAATTCGACCACGCTCTCCTGAATACAAGCGTAAAGTGGCAGTTCAATGCTGCTGTGTTTCGTAAACCCTTTTTACTGGAAACGAGGCATTCGAATTTAAAACTCAGGTGTGACAACGCATCTGCATTTTGATCCTTAATCGAGGTAAACGTAGATGTCTATTGGCCAACACAGCATACACTTACCATCAGGTGGACTGTGTGTTCGTTTGTTTGTTCTATAAAAAGGTGGTTTGTTTGTTCTATAAAAAATTCCTCACTAAGGGTGAGAAAATAGGGTAAAATTTTTTAATGTAACTTCTTTGCAGATTGTAAAGAATTGAACTTTTTAATTCAAAAAAATCAAAAAGTATATGTCAACATTTGCTTTGACTAACATTTTTGCCCAACAATATATTCGTAACTATCTCTCTAAATTAGTCTAGTAAGATAGTTGTATTACTAGATCCTGCTCGTATCATACTTTTATTCCGCTATATTGTAGCAATATCCTTAAGGATATAACTATATCACGGCTTCAACCGTCTTGCTGCAATATTTTCACTATGTTTTAGCTTCGAATTCTAAAGCTAATAAGTGGAAATCGCCTGTACTTTTTACTATTAAAAGTTGATTTTTTTCTTCTTTAAAATTCTAAGACTATCGTTCAAGTTCCTATATCTTATTTTGAGGTCATTTTTGTGATACTTCACAACTATGATATTTTAATTTTAGGTAGTATCCAGACCGCAATTATTTATTATTATTAGGATTAAAATATTAAAGTTCAACCACTTTAATAAAATAAAATAGTTCTGGTAACTTTTATTGAGCTCAACTTGATTACTGAGCACTTCGTGGCGCAGCTTAAGGATAGGATTAAGGAAAAAAGGATAAAAAGAATTTGACTTAAAATATATAAATAGTAGTTTTATTTTTAAAAATTGATTTTATCTATCAAAGCCTCTATACCAAAACATAATTTGTACCTCACAAAGCTGATTTTTGGTATAAAATCTCAATTATGTATTGCGTACCAGGCTAACAGAATACTAGCGGAGTTTAATCTATCAAGCGTCAGATCAAACACGTATTGTTAAGCGCACCAGAATAGATTCCCTTTGTAACTCACTCAGACTTCTCGACATAGAGGCCTCGGTAAAAGAGAAATGTAGGGAAGTTATATAATCTTTTAGAAAGTAGACTGTTGATCTAACAACCCTTTAAATATGTACGATCTACGAATCTATAATCAAGGAATTAGTAATGCCCTTTAAACGAGCGTGAGCATAATATAAATCTATACTAATATTATAAAAGAGAGAGTGCGAAGTTTGTAAATATTCGTATGTACAAACTGGGAGGGTAATCTCCGGAACCACTGCACCTATTTGAATCATTCTTACACCATTTGAAATATATATATATATATATATATATATTATTGTGAATGTGGTCTTTCTTACATAGGTCAAACAAAAAGATCTATAAAAACCCCCGTGAGGAACAACGAAACTCGTAGCTGACGTGAAGCACCGTGACGCTCCGGGAAGTCCGCAATCTGCGAACATGATCAAGATCGTCTCCACCATTACATTAGATTTAATAAATCACAAATCCTCGCAAAGGAACACCGATTCCTACCAAGGATGATACGCGAGGCTATTGAAATTAAAAAACATCCTAATTTCAATAGAGAAGATGTATGGGTTCTGCCGTCCGCTTCATCATCATCATCATTACAGCCCTTCACAAGTCCACTGCTGAACATAGGCCTCCCCCAAGTAACGCCACAAAGCACGGTCCTGAGCCACCTGCATCCATCGACTTCCTGCATGTCTTACCAGGTCGTCACTCCATCTAGTGGGGGGTCGCCCTACACTACGCCTACCGGTACGAGGCTGCCACTCGAGAACCTTTCTTCCCCATCGGTTATCGGTTCTTCGAGCTATATGGCCGGCCCATTGCCACTTTAGCTTACTAATCTACTACGGATATCCTCATTTCTGAGTCTATCACGCAGAGAAACTCCGAGCATAGCCCTCTCCATAGCTCGCTGAGCGACTTTGAGCGTCCTCATACGGCCAGCGGTGAAGGACCACGTCTCTGATCCGTAATAAATATCACTGGCAACACGCACTGGTTGTACACTTTAGTTTTCAGAGATTGAGGTATACCTGACGTGAAGATGTGTCGTAATTTCCCGAACGCTGCCCAGCCGAGTTGAATCCGTCGATTGACCTCTCGGTCGAAGTTGGACTTACCTAGTCGGACTATTTGTCCCAGGTAAACGTACTCGTCAACAACTTCGAGCATAGTGCTCCCAACAACTACCGGCATAGGTGTGACATGGACATTAAACATGATCTTAGTTTTGTCCATGTTCATCTTAAGACCTATCCGTTGGGAGACACCATTGAGGTCATTGAGCATAGTGCTAAGGTCCTCCAGCGATTCTGCCATAAGGACTATATCGTCGGCAAATAGAAGGTGAGTGATGTACTCCCCATTGATGTTAATACCGTATCCTTTCCAGCCCAATAGCTTGAAAACGTCTTCCAACGCAGCGGTGAAGAGTTTCGGGGATATAACGTCACCCTGTCTTACACCTCTCTGCAGTTGGATACGCTTCGAACTTTGGTTCTGTACTCGGATAGCCATCGTAGCCCTACTGTACAAACACTTCAGCACTTCGGTATACCGACAGTCAACTTGGCAAAGCTGAAGGGACTGTATCACCGCCCAAATTTCGACGGAATCAAAGGCTTTCTCATAGTCCACATACGCCAGGCAAAGTGGCAGATTGTACTCCTCGGTCTTCTGTACAATATGCCGCAGGGTATGTATGTGGTCTATGGTACTGAAGCCTTTTCGGAAACCGGCTTGTTCGGGAGGCTGGAAGTCGTCGAGTCTGCTTGGGATCCTATAATTAACAAAATTAAACGCAAACCCAAGCATACTACTGCAAGACTTCATGATACTGTAAGCTCGTTTTGCGTAAATCGGACCAAAAATTTATATTCAAAAACTGAAGGTAGCTGGACTATGACCCCCGTGACCATTGGTGCTGTAAGGCACCCGAAACGTCGGGAATTAAAAATAATTTAAAATAGTTGATCAAACGCAATAAAATCCGTAAATATAGTTTTATTCAATAAGTTCATCATCACCATTACCCTTCTTATAAAATATATACTTAAAGGTACGCACAAAAATTTTGTTTGTTGTTCAGGTATTAATTGTAACTAATAACACTAATTAATGATGTTACTTTTGAAGTAGCACTATAAATAATAATACCTATCTTAAAAAATCGCTTTAATCTCGTATAACTATTTTGATGCATCACAGGAATAAGATATATCTAATAATATCTATTGCTTGGTTATTTTAAGTTAAGCGACGGTAGCCTAATGGCAGGGCGCGGACCACGAACTCAAAAAGGTCGTGGGTTCAAATCCGCCATTCGACTACTGGCGTGAACCACTCGTAATACAAGCAATTTAAGCTTACCACGAGTGGTTAAGATGAATATTAGTAATGTTTATAGCATTGTTAATATTCTTTAAAAAAAAATTAAAGGAGCCAGTATATTTAAAAGCTGGAGCTACCGAAACTCTTTTTCTATATACAGAATGGGTCCCACATATATGCAATAAATGAAACCATATACTTGTTATCGCCTTTGCTAACGATATACAAAAAATGAACGTAATCGGTCCAGTAATTAGGTCAAAAAGTAGAGTTTTAATTTTAAGCAAATTTGAACACTCTATAGAATTGGGTCACTAAGTCAAGGATTCAATGAACCTGAATCCTTGAACATTAAAAAGCGACGTTGCCACGCAGTGCAAACTATTGGTATTGCGACATATCGACAGCGGTGTCTTTTGTCGGCGTGCCACCCGCGTGCAACGTTGTCACTCTTCCAAGGGATCAAGGTACGTTGTCTAAACAGAGTGTTCACTTTTACTGAATTTATTTTAATATTTATTTAGTTTGAAAATTTCACTTTTTTATTTTACGGGTTTTAATTTAATATTTAATTTTTCTACACTTCTACGGACTAGTATTACTAGTGGTTTCATTTATTGCATATATGTGGGACCCATTCTGTATATCTACACTTACACGCTAGTCGGTTAAGGGCCATTTTCAAAATATGGCCAATTTGGTCGATGAACGTTCTTCTGGGGCGTCCCTTCCCGACTCTGCCGTTCACATCTCCGTTCACATTAGCTTTGTCATTAAAAGTTA